AATGACCAAAGTCGACGTATTCCGGTGCACTGGGAACAGCTACGTCACTTGCAGATTTATTATTGTCTTTCGGCACAGGGATAGGTATTTGACGAACAGGTTCCATGTACGGTCGGGAATATTCAGACGGAACATGTTTCATGGGAGCACCTAGATTTTCGTAATTTCTTGTTTCAGAATTTCTGGGGGTGACCATTGGTGAATACGACTCCACGGCGTTGTTATCATATTGTAAACTTGTATTGGGTTGGTTAGAAATAGTAGAAACCGGGCTTGATGTAGCAAACTGCTGTTCCTTATAGGGTAATGTACACAAAGGTCTCGTTGGAACCGATGGTTTATCGGCTGTGGTTTTCTGTGATTCTCTCTACAATTAAGATATAAATATACATATCGAACTCTAGAAATCACCATCCACTGGACGGTTTAAATCCCTTTTAGCATAGAAATAATAAGGCAAAATTTGTCTGTATCTTGGTAAATTGCGTCAAAAATAATGTGATGTTGAGTTGCCTGTGTAAGAAAAATTCTAAAAAAACTCTTCTTTACTATATATTACTAAATTAACACTATATTTAACAGCAATATGTTTATTTCGTCGCCTGATTATTTGAAGATAAAATCAACCAAACTACACTCACCATAGTTTTAGCATCAATAGTATCATATAGCTCATAGGGTTCAGAATACGCCGGATTATCTACTGGTTTTTTATTCCCCGTAAATCGTCTGAAATTAGAAATAAGATTTTAAAGTATCAGTATTAATGTCGAATAGGGAAAAGTAGACGAGACGTGAAGCTCAATCAAATAAAATTCTAAAAGAAATCACTGTATAAAGCCTGAGGTACCTGAGAAAACTATTATTTCGTTTCCAACGTTTGATGAGTACAATGATAACAATAGCGAGTGCCAGTAATACCAGACCTCCTATAATTCCTCCTACTATATCTCCAGTATGATCTGTCGCTTCTCCCCTCTCTCCTCCTCCTGTTACCACATCCACACATCGATCTCGTACTGTTTTTATATCTTCATCACTCAGATCATAGACTGCAAGAAATACAATAATATCCTATTATTCAGACAATAGGATTAGGGTCCAATAATAATGTCCTATTATTCAGACAATAGGATTAGGGTCCAATAATAATATCCTATTATTCAGACAATAGGGTTAGGGTCCAATAATAATATCCTATTATTCCAGACAATAGGGTTAGGGTCCAATAATAATATCCTATTATTCAGACAATAGGGTTAGGGTCCAATAATAATATCCTATTATTCAGACAATAGGGTTAGGGTCCAATAATAATATCCTATTATTCCAGACAATAGGGTTAGGGTCCAATAATAATATCCTATTATTCAGACAATAGGGTTAGGGTCAAAAAATAATATCCTATTATTCCAGACAATAGGGTTAGGGTCCAATAATAATATCCGATTATTCAGACAATAGGGTAAGGGTCCAATAATAATATCCTATTATCCAGACCTTAGGGTTAGGGTCCATGTCCAAATAGAAACAGGAGCTGGCTTACATTTTCAAAAATTTAGGTAAGATCGAAAAATTTGATATGGAATTGGTAACACCAATTTATTGAAATTGTGATCGCAATAATTCAAAAGAATATGGTAGTAGTCAACGGTTAAATCATTATATTAGTCAAATTATAATTAGACCAAACTTTCATTCAGTTTTTATAAGCTTTTTTTAATATCGCCACTTCAGTTAGGGTCTAAAGATGGGCCTCTTGAACATTCGTCAAAACTATTCCTTCACTCTCTCACAAAAACCCAACACAGACATTTGGTTGGTTACTGGAGTCATCAGAGGTTCAACTACCGTAGATAGTGGTCCATGGACCCTCACTCTTAAGGCGGCCTCCACCTCCAGAAAAAAATATAAATTTCAAAATGAAAAGCAACAAAGTATTTCGAAGGATAACACACTTTATGGTTATGGTTCATTTTGCATGAGCTCTACCAAGGGCAACATTACATAAACATTCATTAAACAGTGGATATTGCCCACAGTATCTCAGTGGATATTGCCCACAGTATCTCAGTGGATATTGCCCACAGTATCTCAGTGGATATTGCCCACAGTATCTCAGTGGATATTGCCCACAGTATCTCAGTGGATATTACCCACATTATCTCAGTGGGTATATCAGGATAGAAGATTTGTGTTTAATATTAGTGTTAAAATGACTTTAAAACATAATTTACGTATAAATCCAGGTACTATTTGATAACATTATCTCCGAGATATTCAAGGGAGTTAATCCAATACTTAACTCACTTCTCTCGCATCTATTCCAGGGTTTATATTTGGCACAAATTCCATTAATATACACCTTTTCCTCGGCATCGCAGTTCGACTCCTCATCATTCCAAGCTGTTCCAGTAGCACAATGACGTAGTAAGGGTTCTCTGTACGCCTGGTAACATTGATAGTAGGTGGTACAGTTACAGGGGTCTACATATAAATCACCTACGTTACATGGTAGATGGATCGGCTCGCACGTACCTGAAATATGATAGCTGATTAGAAACATTGGTACGTGTCCTTTTTTTAATATTTACAAAGTGGTATTTCGGATGTTCTGTTTATTCCTTTTTTATAAATGGTCCTGTGCAACATCCAGTGCAAATCCAGGGAGCAAAGAGCTGCCGTACAAATATATCTAAACCTAGCACAAATTGGATAATAGAAAATATAATATCTGAACCTAGGATATATTGAAGACGGGAAGATATTATATCTAAACCTAGGACATATTGGAGAAAGGAAAATATAATATCTAAACCTAGGACATATTGGAGACGGGACATATTGGAGACGGGAAAATATAATATCTAAACCTAGTACATATTGGAGACAGGAAAATATAATATCTGAACCTAGGATATATTGGAGACAGGAAAATATAATATCTAAACCTAGGACATATTGGAGACAGGAAAATAAGATATCTAAACCTAGGACATATTGGAGACAGGAAAATATAATATCTAAACCTAGGACATATTGGATACAGGAAAATAAGATATCTAAACCTAGGACATATTGGATACAGGAAAATATAATATCTAAACCTAGGACATATTGGAGACGGGAAAATATAATATCTAAACCTAGGACATATTGGAGACAGGAAAATATAATATCTAAACCTAGGACATATTGGATACAGGAAAATAAGATATCTAAACCTAGGACATATTGAAGACAGGAAAATATAATATCTACACCTAGGACATATTGGAGACAGGAAAATATAATATCTAAAACTAGGACATATTGGATACAGGAAAGTATTAAACTTTATGCATTATTTATTTAAGGATGGGGACAGTATGAAAGAATGGTAAACTTACCTGTAAACGTTACATCTGACATCATTTTATATTCAAACTTCTAAACATGTACACATTTGTCTTGGAATATACAAACTTAAACTAGGATCTGCAATTTAACAAATACAAATTCTTAAGTAAGTCTGGAATAAGGTTGTTGTCTGTTAGGCGATGGGGAAAGAATGAGGATACTGTTTCGGCCCCGTGTAGGATCTCGCCATATCTCTATATGTAAGAGTTACAAAGCCATATACGCGACCTTTTTGAAGTGAGTGTTTTATGCCAAGATACAAGGCATTTATTACAATTACAGACTTTGTTTCCTGGAAAACAATCCAGATAATTTCAAGATAATTTCCTCAGTGATATTTTGTTGAAAAGAGACAAAAGTGTTAGAATGAAACCTACTCACCCCTGATGTAATGTCAACTATGTCGACTGTAATATTATCACCCTGGGGCCGAGGGGTTAACCTTCTACTTGATCCCTAACTTACATCACGTGATCGCGAGATATCACCCCCTTGTCATTTAAAATAGCGGCTATAAAACTACATTCTAAACTCGTCGTTATTTTTTTATAATTTTCATCAGTGAGTTAGACGCTTGCTAGCTAACCAGAAGGTTCAGGGTTCAATCACGGCATATGTGTAGATTATAGATTTGTCCTCATGTCAGTGGTTCAGGTCGGCGGAGGAGCTTCTAGCAGACTAGCAAGTCTTTGCAAACATTTTCAACATCCGTCTCCATAACCCAATGAGATACAGAAAAATAGGACGTAATATTTCATTCATTTCATCTATATTTTTATTACAATGTGAATTTAAATGTGAGTCCAAGCAGAATACCGATTTGTTGAAAGAATGGGGATCGTTGACTTTAAAATTTATTACAAATCAGAGCACTACGGAAACAAAGATATATTGCAAACTAAAATTAACATACAGTTTCGACTGTATAAATATATTCATGACTTACGAGACCTATTTCAAGGAGTTTAGTCATTTTAATGGACTATCAAATTTCAACCTAGATATTAAACAAGATTATTATCTTAACACGCTTAATAGTCGAAGATGAAAGTTTTTACATGTTGCAGTAGATAGAAATCAGTAACAAGATTACAGTACATCAACATCCGTCCCTGTATATATATATTGTTAATGCTATTAAACAGTTTCCGGGAGTGGGGAAGATGAATCTGGTTGTGAAGACAAATCAACAAAGCTGGCATTGTGATTCAGATGGAGATTCAAGACAGATTGTCAAATTATCAAACGATTTAGTTTATAAGATAAAACTTTCATTGATGAATAAATTGATGCCCTGGTCAAATTAGAAACGTCAACTTCAAGGCTTATGAACGTTTGTAATATATGACAATATCTATAACCTTGGCCACTGCTTTCATTGAGACTCTTCTCAATACACCATAATACAAGCTAAATAATAAATATATATTTTGTATTTAGTTGTAGATAAGTTTTTACCGTGTTCCACCCAAATATTCATTTCCTTTCGAACATGTTTGCGTATGTCCTCATGTCTAGCAACAATCAATACCACCCTAAATAAAGAAACGAGATTCAGTTTAATCACCACTATACAAGTAGTTGTACAGGGATGTATGCTTAGAGGGGTGGGGAGGTGATACGTGACAAAAGTTCATGAAGTTTCCTCTGCCAACTTCAAAACGAGTCGCCCATCCATTTTCATTGTGTGTATTTCATCCTCATGGTTTGGCGTTTTCTAGAATCGACTAGACTTTACATTTAACTGTAAATTATACAAATTTAAATGACGTCATTATGTGTCATACTTCTCATATCTTTTATTCATTTGTCTTTTAAAGTCAAGCTATAATCGAAATGAGCGATAAACCTGCTGTAGTGAGGGTGTAATAAACATACACTATTAAACATATATAATATATATCAAATAGAGATGATAAGAGAAGTTTAGGCCTTCGTACAACACGGACACGGAATCATTTAATGGCAAAAAGAGAACTATTTACTCAATGATATTTGAGTATATCTGTTCCATTTTAGAAGATAACCATTAAATTTAATTCTATAAAATATATCTAACATTATCTAACATTCTGGTCCAAATAGTAACGTCGGCCCTGTACTGTATAAAAAATAGAAATTAAGTGGTGAGTGATCTTGTTCAGTATTTACAACTCTTCATGCGGAACAGCCCTGGACCCGGGGAGAAGTTAGGTGCTCTGATGAGAAATATACAGTATTTGTATCATAATAACCGATGGTTGTATATCGATGAGGAAATAAGTGACCTGTCAGTCAGCTTCAGATTCCGTATTCATTATCTCATTACAGCTCGGTCGCATTGTCAATAATCAAATACAGCCACTACTCGATTATCAAGACGCTCCATTGATTGAACAGTGGAGACGTGAAATCAAAACTTTCTGATTTACTGAAAATGGTCCAGATGAAACTGAAATTCCATCTTTTTGACAACAATAGGTTGAAAATGACATTGTTGCTAAACTGTAAGGGAAATACCGAGTTTTTGTTCTCATAATCAACGTTTTAACCACATGAAAAGTGAAAAATGAACAAGTTTTCAACTATATAACTTCTTTTCTTCATACAAATATTCATATTTACATAATTGATTAATAAATAAGAGGTTTTGTTAACTTTAAATGTATATCATATATTCATATATATATAACGGAATAGTAACTGAATGTTCAATTATTTTTGCATATTTTGTATTTTCCTTTTACAAAATTACGGAATGTTTTACTGGTATTTCTTTTGTTTGTGTTGCATGTAATCAGGCCTGTTTTTAATTTACTATCAATTAAAATCGATTAAAGTGGCAGTCTGTAGATAAAGATGTATTGTGTTGAATGTGTAAAATCACTGAACCTTAACTAATCAATATCACAAAGATTATAAGTCATATCCCATGGAACCATCTGGGTATTCGAGACTACACAATCGATCGTCTGCTTCTGGCGAATCAGACGTGAATAAAAATCACCCGGCATTTTCTCTGGCTTCCGCCTGCCATTATCAGGATTCATAGAAGATCGTGAAATATCGGCATGGAAATGGATAAGTCTGGAATTTTAGTGTTTTTACACAGTAAGTATTGTATTTTGTATATGAGGGATGTGCAATGCACGTACACGTGTAATCAATACTCGTCACAGTACATCAAAATCATACATTAACCTGGTGAACTTTCTAATGATTTTCTCTTCGTTTTTATCATCAGTTATTGACTGTGGTTTCTGCTATACATGTATAGTATTAATATTACAAGAATTACCAAACTAAATAGTATAATATTAATTTAGCAACCATGACTAATTGTTATTACCCTTGATGAAATAGAAGTACCTTCCTATCGACATGTTCATGATGTTAAATGTTTGTAGTCTATTGTTTAGGTTTGAAGTCTGTTGTCGGTTAGCAAAATACTATCTTCTGGTTTGTCTAGTGAATGAAGTGTGTTTTTAACATATTTTTCGTCTGGTGCCATAGAGCAAAATAGAACTGTGTGGTCCTGTAACACGGGTTTTGTTTTCCAAATATACAAATTTAACAAATTTATCTACGTAGACTGTCTCAAGGGGATGTCAGTTATAAAACATATCGCTAAGAAGCATCAACATATACTGCTAGTATTGCAGTCTATTTATATATAAATACATATACACAATAAACATATTAACTCTGTGGACACTAGAACCATTCAAACCAACATTTCTTTTTAATGAAACTAACAACTAATCATAATTTCGGAAAAATTTGCCAAAAATTATATATTATCATGGTGAAACAAGCTGGTGTATCGGATATAACCTATAAAACCATAAGTAAGTATTCAAATAACCTGGAGAACTGATGTTGATTCCTTTCCCTTATTGTGCAATATTAATAATTATAATATATTGTAATAAGTAATTTAAACCTTCAGGGATGAGTATAAATGTAAATATGAAATATCGCTAGTAAGAATAATGTATGACCCGGTTGTTAATCATTATTGATGCATATTATTCAAAATACAGTCCAGTGGGATCAACTTCTAAACAACTGACAGGCACTTTCATATAATTACTTTCAATCCCTCGATATTAGTTTCCCAACATGACATTATAAACTAGTATTGATATAATATATACTTCACGGCTCCAGATCTACTCTCATATGGTGAGATCATCAGTCGCATCATGCACCGAGAGAATGTTACGT